CCCCAAAACCCCAAAACCCCAAAACCCCAAAACCCCAAGTGTCGATATAAATAAATAAAAGTAATCATTTTCAAATAATTTAAAATATTCTTTAAAATGGAGGTTGAAAACTTAGAAAGCCATCTCAAGTATGTAAATGCCAACGGAGTCACTCTTAACATTGATGAGAGATTGAACTTAGACCTCTCACTCCAGAAACTGCACCTAGACTTCAACTTTGAAGAACTCCTATTCTGGGGTAAAGTTAACGGTAAGTGGATAATTGCAAGAATTAATTTTAATGTGTATATGAATTTATACTGATTAATCAAACTTAGGTGTTGTTAATGACTACTACATTGCTGTTGCCCTTGAGTATGTAGGAGTACAAGATTTCCCAAAGAAGCACTTCTTCTGGTGCAGTTCTGCCAACTGGATATTTGCCAGCTTACCTCAACCACACCTTGGCTTGAGACACATCTTCGATAAGATTTAGGTTTACTTCTCTGGAGAATTCGATAGAGTAGTTATCGATGCTCACGGTAAATCAGAACTTTTAGATGTAGCAGAAGCTCATCATGGAAAAGCAAAGCCACTCGAAATTCCAGCTAAAGGAGTATCTGAATTAGATAGACTTGCTTACGCAGTACATGCAATCGAGTCTGATTGCTAAGTTGTTCCAGTTGGCAGTTTCAAGATGACTCCTATTAAAGAAGTAAGAAGAAATGAAGCATTTAGAGGTCTCTCTGCTGATGGGGCTTTCACCATTTAAAATTACCAGCATTTCAGATAGGTTCAAAACAGAGATAAAAGGGAACAATTAGATAGAGATGAGGGAATCTATAATGATATGTTCTTGGATGAAATTTCTTCTGACTTCCCATAAGGTTCATGGAATATTTTGAAGGATACAACCTAGCAAGTAGCAATCATTAGAAACAAATTGTGGCCAGGCTACTACGCATACCACAGAATATATACTAACATTTTTGGAGGAGTCTATATTGGAAATGGTATTAAGAACCTAGACTTACCTTTCATGATCTGAGATTAAGCTTCATGTCTATTTAATATTTCTTAATACACAAGAATTTATTGTTCTAATTCTTTTATTTTCAGTTTATCTATTGTTTCGGGGTTTTGGGGTTTTGGGGTTTTGGGGAGATCGGAAGAGCACACGTCTGA